GAACCACTGTCCCAAGTCACAGGACTGCAGGAGGCTGTGCAGGTAGGCGCCATGGTGCCAGGTCCCTTAATCCACAGCTGTCCTCAGTAGCTGTGTTTCAAGGACCCAAAAACTTGGGAAAACTTACTTAGAGTTTAAGTTCCCAAGTAAGTCTAGACTCAGAGTTCCCTACCAAGGCCTCCGTTCTGGGGATGGAGATGCCCACTGACCTCCAGGACCCCCTGTTAGTTAAAGGACCACAGAGAGCCTTTAGTGAAGATCCCCAGGTCCCCTGGTGCCCCGCGTTCTCTGCAGGAGGCAGACACAGTGGCAGGCAGAGGAGAGAGAGCAAGTCCCAGGCTGCGGGTAGCCTCCACCAGCTTCCCTCACAGACTATCACAGACTGCAGCACGGCTGGACTGGACAGAACCAAGTGCCCACATCCTTCCATGAGGTCAAGCACAGCAGCCTCCTGCCCCAGCCAGACGCCAGAGTCAAGACCACCAAATAATTTACTGTGATCAACCTGTGCCCAGCGGGGCCTGGAGAGACTCGGAGGGGACTTGGACACTGGGGTACCGGTGGCATTCAGGACAGTCCACGACAGTCTGCAAAATGTCCATGAGAGGGTCTTCGGTCACCTCTGTCCACCATCCCTGGGCTGGCTGGGTGCCAGCAGCACTTCCTTCCTTCCTTCCTCCTTCCTCCTTCCGTCTGCACCTCCTCCCCGCATCCGGCACCTCCTCATCCTGAGCTTGGGCCGGGCGGGGCACCAAGGACGCCCTAGGCAGGGGGACTGGCAGGATCGGGGAGCCCGGGGCCATCAGAGTGGAGGCGGGCAGCACCCCAGGAGCTCGCCTGGCCCTGCCTCACCTGGCCTCAGGACAGCACACACTTGCAGCTCATACAGCCAGGGCCACTCTCATCGGGTGGGTTCAGCTTCCGCAGTTTGTGCTGCCGAATCTCCCGCACCAGCGTGTAGAAGGCATCCTCCACACCCTGGGAATAGAGGGACTAGATCAGGGGCCAGGGGGCCTGGCCAGGAGGAGACCTGAGACCCCCGGGGAAAAGAGGGACTGGGTGGGGACCCTGCCTGGGGAGCTGGCCGGGAGGGAACCTGAGACCCTGGGGAAAAGAGGGACTGGGTGGGGGCTCTCTGGGGGCCTGGCCAGGAGGAGACCTGAGACCCTGGGGAAAAGAGGGACTGGGTGGGGACCCTGCCTGGGGAGCTGGCCGGGAGGAGACC